AAACGGGATATTAATGCACAATCTGGCAACCATGTCGCACCCTCACAAAATGGCCACACAAGTCACCGTGTTGTCATTGAATAGCATGGAATTAAACCTCCGTCAGAGTATATGTTTTGTGACTGGGACCAAGGGTTGACAGATCCCACACATGTGTCACTCGATGAGTCTTGAAATGCAATAATCAGCTGTATTCAAATAATGTCTAATATAAATATAACCTAGATTGTGTACTCGTGAAAAAAGAAAAATATGGCAAATTTGTAGTTTCTTTGCAGGTTTAAGGTTTGCTGGTAGCTTTAAGGCATATATTTGGGAATTTCTTAATCGCAGTGAATATAGTGTAGATGTTTATTCAGTTCCTGAACAACGAAAAATATTCAACTTTTTGGATGTATGAATATCAAAGAACCTGAATGGTTTTGTGGGAATATCAATCTAAGGTGCCATAATGGTTCTGATGAACGGCAAGTAAATGAATGAATGTTTGGAAACGAGCAATATCTTTTGGTAGAGCCTGTCATCAAGTAGGTGCTTAATGGCTATCTGAAAGGGGTTTATAGGAAAAAACACCCAGTATGTAAGTTTGACTGAATCGTATGTAATTTCTTAATATTCAATAAGCTGGCGATGTTTCAATGACAAGCTGTCATATCATACTTTGACAGTATTTTGTTTTCAACATTTCATAGCTATTGGTTGCTAAAATCTGTTGATTGGAGCTTGAAGCTCATTCGTTGTATTTGACGGACAGTTACGCTATAGGTGGAGAATAACGGACTGTTGATTTGACAACCTTTGTGAAATCGACCCTTTTAGGCCCGTATCGTCAGTCGTCCCTACAATTGTAGGGCGCCTTTATGGCCTCCTTGATTGTCATAGTTATCTACTTCTCCGTGTCAGAACTCTATTTTGAGGTTATGTCACAAACATCTATTTGCATCAAATTGTGCTTGCTTTTGAGTTATATCATGTTTTATCAGCCTGAAATTTCCTACAAATTAAAAAGAAAACATATCTTCACAATAGGAGAGCGCTGACGCTGACACGGGACAAGTGTAATCTAGAAATTTTTGAAGGAGAGAAAGGAGTATGACAATCAAGGAGGCCATAAACGCGCCCTACAATTGTAGGTACGACTGACGATACGGGCCTAAATGTTGCAAAAATTTAGCAAGAAGCAAACAATTAAAGCGATTAACGACAACTTCAAGCGCTATTTCGCAAGCAGAGCATGTGACAGGGCGGTACCTCCTTACCTAATGAATAGTTTTCTTTAACTTCTGTTTCACGTTTTTGGTACTGCTTTACCGTAAATTGGTTTCGTTGTTTCGAACGTATTTATTTTTGAAAAGGGCAGACCCTAACTTTCAGGACATCCTGTGTGTTTTGTTAAATTGTTGGAGAAATACAAGGCACAGAGGTACGGAATCAGGAATGTTGATATCGGTATTTCCATTTTCTAAATTATCCAGGTATTTTGCGGTTTGTAACAAAAATTTTAATTAATGCGAACATAAGAGTACTTATCTGCTGTATTTGTGATGACATCAATTCAAAAGTCCCCCATCACTGTAAGCGTTCGAAGGATAAAATTCTTAAACGTAGTTAGACTTAGTAATGACAACGGGTAGCAATTGCGGATATTTACGAGTGATTGGAAAGTGTGTCAAAAAGAATGGTGTGTGTTCTTCTTTTCAGTGACAGATAAAGAATTAAAGTGAATTGACGTACTGATTTCGGTTTCATTCATATTCTTTTTTAAAATACATGAAACAATTTATTTACCGGCTTCGTCGAGCACAAACTGTGATAACTTATTACTTCCATGATTAATGACGATCATGACTACATTGTTAGTCAATTTACACGATTTGTGAAAAATATTGCCCAACTAATAGATGTTACCAGTGGAAGTAAACATGAATAATTACTTCAAGTACTGTAACTACAGCTTTGCATGATATGCTGGACAAAATCCAAGAAATGCACAAACAAAATTGACACAAAATATGCCCACCAACTAAGTAAGCTGTTTGACACCAAATCTAAGACAAAGGTTAGTTTTGTCAACATCAAATAATAGAGTTTACTGATTTTCTAGGCAATTAAAGAAAGAGTTATGACACAAAAGACGATTTTAATTTTCACAGCATGCACTAATCAAAGAAATACGTAAAGCATTTTAGAAATCAGTAAGAAAGGTTTTATTAACATCCTAAACATTAATAAATCGCGGAATCGTACCTATAAATGAGATAATTTTAGCAATGGACATAAGTTAATACACATGACACAAATCCTACAAGCCACGGTGCGTGGCTTTCCTTCACATTTGATTTAATTTATGTTTATATTTTAGCAAAGTTATATGGTGACTATATTTACACTTCTTTAAAGAATTGAGTGATATTTTTACATTGCGTTATTACTTTTAGAAGTAAATTACAAATGGGATTTTATCTGACCAAAATAATTATTTTGCTAAAAATAAGAATGGTCCAATTCATATCTCAAAAATGGTGGATGTGGTAACAATTTGATGTCTACAACCTTTCAATAAAGCTGAATGCACCCTTTACTTGAGGCCAAGAAGCAAATTTTAAAGAAATGGATGAGGTTGGTTTATCACGTGACAACGCAATTTAAAAATATTGGATTGAATTGGATTTTTTTCAAATGGAAGTATGCGGTGAGAAGTAGACGTAGAAGATCCAAGTAATAAATGGCGACGTCGGTAACCTGACTTAAATCCAACGGTGGATGTCACCTGATTTAAAAATAAAAAATTATCAAAAAAAAAATTCAGATATATTGTAGTATGTCACTATTTTGACTGCTTGAAAGCCAAAGCTACTTGACGAATTGGAGTGTTTGAATATGAGTGGGGCACAATTGTTGTCTTCTATCATCGTCGGACTACAGGTGACAGCAGCGTCCCTTGTGTATGCACCGTTCTGTCATGAAGACATTGCGTGTATTTTATTTTTATAGTGCTTCAGGACATTCAGAATATTCTCAAATATGCTATACTACAAAGTCTATACGAGTGTATACAAAGGTATATACCTCCGTGGAGAAAGCCATTATTGTCTGAACACTTTTATATCCTGAGGCGTATACCGCATACTTCTCCACCAAGGTATCTAATGTACTATTCCCTCATTAGGGTTGTTAAATATACAAATATTGTGGAAAATATCTCGTTACGTAGCAACATTTTCCAAGATATTGGACCGGCAAGAAAAATGAAGTCCGTTCTTGTTTCTGAAATCAAGTTGCATCAATAAGATATTTGCGGCATATGAAATGTCTCTTATATATCACAATACATCCAATACAAATATTGAAAAGCTTGATCTGAACAGATTCAGCTCAGCTTCTGTTTATTTATGCAACAGTACGCCACTGCGGATAGTCATTTTAGATATTTGGTATTCCTAATGATTGACCTGCTGTCCTTTCAGTGTGGGCCAGAAGGCCTCTTCAACGTCTCGAGATATAAGGCTTTGGCGAACTACATCTATGTGGCAACAGTGACCCAATGCTCACCAAAGAGAGAGCTCCCAGTAGACCATAGACGCTCATCTCCGTTGTATATCTCCGAGACAGAACCTATCCCGTACTGATGATAGCTGACAAGCATGAAACGACGTTGTGTATATAAAGCCAACATATTCAATTCAGCCCGATACTTCTTGTATCAACTGTAACTCTCCTGGAAGATTTTCAATACTGTTGCTCCAACTGATCAAGAATCACAAAAACGCAATGAAGAAGCAGCTTCAATATTTTTTGAAGGTACTATACGTCCGATGAGGTATCACAATAACATCCTCAGCTGACATCTTTTACAAGTGGTGGGCAACTGCAAACCAACTAGCGCCGGCAGTGCCAACAATCATTAAGCAACCGATTGGGTTCTCGTCAATTTGGATACATATCCAAATACAAGAATTCTCCGAGTTAAGCTGCTGTCGAGTTGCGTTTGCTCAGTGTGTTGGGGTTAAGCATGGAGCCTTGAGCGCTTCTTTTGCTCCTAATCTCTATCAACAACTTACAGAATACACCCAGAAAAGCCAGACTTTGGCAGTATGCAGATGGTACAACAATGGCAAGAAGTGGAAGAAACTTAGAGGGTCTGTTGAAGCCAAGACACCAGAACGACGAAAGACTCACGGTCAACATATTCAGCCTTTGAAAAATCCCTTAGGATAATCAAGAATTAGTGAGATTTCGGGAAGCAAGCTTATGCCCTAGATTAACATTTGATAAACACATAGAGGAACTGTCAATTTGAAAGTAACGGGTGATTTTTTAAGAGCCTTCTCTTTAAAAGTTGAATAAAACAGCTAAAATGCATTATGTATACAAAATCTTTATTGTAATCGATAAACTGGTTCTTGCCATTTACTTTTTAAATATTACTTCACGCAAATGTTGACCACAGCTACGTTTCAAATAGTCTTTACGGAAGGTCCAATTTTTCACTACTATTTTCAGCATTTCGGCCTGAATTCTACCAATAACACGTGTTATGTTGTATTGTAAGGCCTCATTAGTGTTGGGCTTGTCCATATACACCGATTTCACGTAGCCCCACAAAAAATAGTCCAGAGGCGTCAAGTCGCATGATCTTGGTGGCCAATTTACAAGGCCAAAACGAGAAATAAATTGCTCACCAAATTCATTCCTTAAAATATACATTGCTTCACGTGCTGAGTGACATGTGGCACCATCTTGTTGAAACCACATGTCAAGCCTGTTTAGATCTTCCAATTTTAGCAATAAAAAGTTACGGATCATGGATCGATATCGTTCGCCGTTGACGGTAACGTTTCGTCCGAAGTCGTTTGTAAAGAAAAACGGCCCGATAACTCCACCCGCCCATAAACCACACTAAACTGTTGTGCCCCGTATAGGGCACTGATAGCAGCTGTCCCGTAATTTCGATCCGGAAAATTTTTTAGACGAAAAGCGAGATAACCGAGGTATTTACTATGGAAACTGACCCAGGGGGGTCAGGAAATGGCGCTTCCACCATGGCAATGGAGATGAAGTCGAAGGAGCAGACCATAGAGAAGTTGAGAGCCGAATTGGAGATGGTTCGACAGGAGCTGTCAAAAAAGGATGATGATAAGAAGACCAATGAAAGATTGATGATGATCATCGAAGCCCAGCAGCGGACAATTACCGACCTAACAGTTAAATTAGACCTCCTACTGAAAACCCAGGTACCTTCCAATCTAAATATTACACATTCTTGCCAAACACTTCCCAAAAATCCCAGTTAAGACAAAGCTGTCAATCTTAAGAGACCGTTAAATAATTCAAGCGATCTTTCCACAGACGACGATACACTCCCTGACGGTTTTACCAAGGTTAAGCCCCGTAAAACGCGACGAAACAAGACCAACACTACAGGCCTTCCTCCTCTCCCTCCACCAAAATCGCAGTCTGAAACGTCTCATTCAACTGCAAGCGACTCGAATAAACAGCCTGTGCCTAATCTATCGGTTACTTCCACGCCTTCGACATCTCAGGTACCAGAAGACACGACTGCACAGCCTCCACGCAAGGTACGTGTTACCCCCATCGTTCTTCGCGATGCTTCGAGATGGCGAGGCGTAAATCACGAGTTTATTTCTTTGGGCATCAAATTCGAACGCGCGGTTGCCGTCGATGCAGGAATCAGGATAATTCCCAAGTCCGAGGATAATTACCGCAGCATTATTCGTCTCTTCAGGGAGGAAGAGGTGCCCCACCACACTTTCCCTCAACCCTCCGAGAGGAACTTCATGCTGTAACCAGAGGAGTACATGCGACACTTTCGGAAATTGAGATCAAGGAAGAGTTGCAACAGAGGAGATATTCCCCCCTGCACATAATTCGCCTGAAACGCGGTGCGGCATGCCCATGCCTTTGGTGGTAGTCATACTGCCCAAGATAGAAAAATCTCAGCAGCTGTTCAACGAACACGAGCTGCTAGGTTTTTTTCCGAGTCGAAGTTCAAAAGAACTCAAGACTCATCGGGCAGTGTCACCGCTGCCAAAATATGGGCATGCGCAATCTTACTGCACTGCACCACCTAAATGTCTAAAATGTGCTTCTGACCACATGACCCACTTATGCCCTCAAACAGACAAGAGGAACGAAAGTGCGCGAACTGTGGAGGGGGGCATCCAGCGAATAGCCGAACTTGCATATTTGCCCCTAGAAAAATCTGCAAGTGATAGTGCAAAGGTGCAATGTAAGTTACGCGGATGCAGCTAGGGATGCAACCCGGGCTGCCCCCTCTGTCGGATCTTCTGCGAACACGCAAATGTGGACCTGGCAACCGCGCTAAGGTGCTTACAGCAGATCATAGGTCCTCTGATTAGCGCAACACAGGCTTTGCAGGCGATCCTCCTGCAAATGGCTAGGTACAATCGACAACAGCCTGCATTTATCAAATTCTATTTTGGAATTGTTTGGGTCTAAGGGACATTCTCAAAGACGGGAATTTCATCAAGCTCTTGGGGACGAAAGTATAGATGTGGCCTTGCTGCAGGAAACATTACTTAATCCGGGAGATCGCCTAGCTTTCCCGAATTACGATGTTATCCGGGCTGATAGATTGACTGGACGGGGTGGCGGCTTGGCGAGTAGTGAAACGCGGTATTGACTACCACAGAAGCACAAACGCTGACATGCAGAGCATCGAAGCGGCTTCCGTGGTGGTCAATATGACGGGAGGTGTGCCGTTAAAAATCACATCGGTGTATGTCAGGTGTGGTAACAGGCTGCAAGAGGCGGATCTGGAAGTCCTTTTAGACTA